GCAGCCTGCCCACAGCCATGTGAGCACAGCACAGCCAGGGGGACACGGCACAGCCATGGGGACACGGCACAGCTGCAGGGACATGGCACAGGCAGGGCTGTCCCGGCACCAGAGCTCATTGCTCTGCACACACCGGAGGTTCAGGCAGGGCCAGGGAACTGAGAATAGCTGCGTATACGTTCCTGAAGAATGTCTGGCTTGCTTTCAGTGAGTGCTATAGCAAAACTGCCCGTTGTACTCAGAGCATTTCACAGACTGTCCTGCATAGCTGACTCCTTACCCAACACGCGCTTGTGTTTGAGGTTGGAGCCAAGCAGTGTATATTAGCTAGCATAAGGGTTAGATTTGGGACTAAGCCGTTGTCCCACATTACGGGCTGCATGGACTGGCTCCAGAGGGTAGGAACTGTAGAAAAATGCAGTTTGAGCTGAGCTTTGTTCATGCTCTGCTCAGGTTTTTGCATGAATTCAAAAAAATCATGAATTTCATGAATTCCATTAGCTCTGTTTCCAAGACTCATACGACATATAAGTTTCTTTTGGTTTTAAGACAATACGTTGTTTTTAGTCCAGCCCTTAAATTGCAGTAAAATACTCACGACTGGGAAATGCATCAGAACAGACATTTCAGAACCCCTTGCAGCTGGGTGGTCTGTCCATGAGACACCGCTCAGTCCTGCAGGCTTCGCCTTCCTGTAGCTTGCACATTTTCCATAGAGAACTTCTAGTGAACTTCTAGCACTGAGCGAACGCTGAGCTTGTGTGAGCAAGCTCTGCTGCTGGGAAGGAGATGTTACAAGCCATGCATTCCCTTATAGAAGTTTTTGAGCTTTCCTAGTGGAAGGATCATCTGATTGCTTGGGTGAAAAATGTGGGTCACCCTCCATCTCTTTGTTGTTTGGCTGTGGAAGCAGTGTGATAAGCAGTAAAAAAAAAAAAAAAAAGTAAGTTTTCAGCAGTCCATGAACAAAATGTCATTGTTTTGAATGATCAGAGTAGTACTGCAGTAATTGCAAAGGCTGTAATTAGTCACTGAGCACTGCTGGAGTGGCACCTGGTGCCACATGGGTGCAGCACTGGCAGGCACCTGCCAACTCACAGATCTGCTATGAAAAGAAAAGTCTTACTTCTCAGGCCGATGTCTGATGCCTAATAAGCAGTTCTGTAGTACTGAGGTTTTGAGGAAGGGCTTCATTTTTCTGGTTTTGCTCAGCTTTTTGGCTCTTTCCTTTTGGCTGGGTTTGACCAACAACCTGGTCTATCTTTTCCTAGCTTACCCACAGGACATAACTGAGCTGTGCATCTTTTGAATCATTTGCTAATTTCTCATTTCAAGTTTAAAGCACAACTTCCTAAATTCTGGCACCCACTTGTTCACCAGGACTTCCCCTCCCCAGGAGCATCCCTTCCTGGAGAGCATTCCCTGCCTGAGAGCAGTGCCCCCCCATCAGCATCCCCTTCCGCTCCGCCTCACTCCTGCCTTCGGCCGCTGAGGGCAATGGGAATTTCATGCTGATAAGGGTTGTTGAAACTAGATAAGGATGCAAGGAAAGGGAAGTACTTGTAAATAGGCTCCGCATAGTTTATCTATGTGTCCTCCTGCACTTCCTGACCTGCCCTGACCGCCGCTCTGTGGATGGGATGGAGGCAGGAGCAGGCAGCCGCGCTCCAGTGGCTGCAGCTGTCGGATCTCGTGGGCTGTTCAGGTTTATTCACTCACACACATAGAAATTAGCATTTTTCATCACAAACGGGCTATTTCTAGATACTTCTTGAACATCATTTTTTGTAACAAAAACTGTACATTGAGTCTAATTAGTTCATTCTTTGTTCCTTCTCCAAGCTCTTTAAAGTACAGAAAATCTGAGAAGCCCAGTGCTTGCTCAGTCACCAGTATAACGTTTGAGGCTTATACGAAGAAATTCATCTAAGGTTTTAATTGTTCCCTCTATCCCACTGCAATAGAACACAGCATTTAATGTTGGGCAGTGCTACGCAGCGATGTCCATGAGCGCACACAGCCAATGGTGCATCTGATCACTGACATCTCAAGGTCCTCTCCAAACTGAGTTCCTTAGAGTCCTTTGCCAAATGTATTACTTGTTGAGACACCAAAGGAACCTTTTCCTTCTTTCTGAGATAAACAGTGGAAGAAGAAATATGAAAAAGTCATTTATCTTCCAGTGACACCACCTATCAGTGTCGGTCACGTCGCCTTACAGAGCGCCCTTCTTACCCCTGCAGTCAGACTGAATCTGAGCTGTAATAGTGGCACCTATAAACTCTGATGTGGAAATGTTAAAAATAAATAGGAAAAATAGGAAGAGGTTCAGCACAGAGGAGTTCATTCCGTCTCCAGCGGCTGCAAATGTATTTTTTTTCTCCATCATTCTCCAGAATATTGAATAAGTCAGGAATTATTATAGAAATGTCCCTGTCATTCTGAATAATACATGAACAAAATTAGTGCCTCTTCATTCAGATTGAAGCAATTATTTCATGTCTCCTCGCACGAGGCCATGTGTAACCCATTGCTGAGTGCTGCCGACTGGGCCTTACAGGATGGGGAAATAACAGCTGGGACTGATTGGAGCGATGGTTGACTCGGTTCACAAAGTTTATTTATTTGCTGGTGTGTGTGCAGGGAGGGAAGCTAGTTAAAATTTAGTATGCAAAATATTTAAAGGGAAAGGTCCCTGCGAGTGCATTGTGTGCTGCACTCTGTAAGCCGTGCTGCTCAGCTCCCCATCAGCATTGGCTGCTCTCTGTGCGCTGCCGCCTGCCCTGCACGTCCCAGTGGCAGCACTGCCCAACCAAAGCCCCTTCTTCCCCCATAGACCACCAGCCATGCGGGGCAGCTCTGCGTATTGCTCCTCCTGCAGCCAGGGGCTGCTGGGCTCTGAGCTGGAGCGCATCGCCGCTGTGTCGGGGGCTGATCCTCGTGTCCAGGAATGAATCTCCACACTGTGAAAGAAAGAAAGTGATACTTGGCTTCATTAGGGGGTATTCAGAGAATTAATGTTCACAGGATGACTCTGAACTGCTGTAGGTTCCTCGTTATACGTGAGTTCTGTAAGCATTAATGATAAAGCCTGCTCTGAGCTGTGCACACACTCATTTCAGGATGCAGCAGGTTGATGCAGGGGGTTTCTGCCCTACTTTGGGACGTTTTGTTATGTGGCACAGCGCTGCTGGAAGCCTGCAGCCCAGATCGCTGGAGAGAGCTCTGCAAGTTGCAATGAGTAAATGCAGAGCAGGCAGTACAAAATATCAGTGCTTTTTAGCAGTTATTCATGTATTAAGAAGTCAGTACAGTGACTGAGATGAATGCTAAAAACTTCAATTAAAATCAAAACAACAGCACTGTCTTTTAGTTGCCTTAGCAGCAGAGAAAGCGCAGGTAAACATCCTTTTTTCTGAAAAATGGCCCTGTTCCTTGGAAGTCCCACAGCCTCCCTGTCCCGACATAAGTGTGTCATTCTGCTGGAGCAAACCACAAAGTGACACCAGGCAAAGCCCACTGTGGTCCGTTTGAGACTTTTTGCTGATCTTGCTGGACCCCAGACCAGGAGGAGAAAGAGGATCTCATTTCACTGAAAGAAAATCAGTCATCTCCTCCCGATGGGCGGTGAGTCTCACCCTGCCCTCTCAGCCCCCAGCAGGTGCCTGCTGCCACTGGGAGCTGTGGCTGCCCACACACAGGAGCCCCCACAGCCCCCTGCAAAGCACAGCCCTGGGAACCATCCTTTGCCTGCAAAGCCAAGGATTTAAAACCCCGCTGTGTTGCAATGGGCCAATTGAATCTGAGTACAGTTAATCCTCCTTACACAAAACACATTTCATCCAATTGTGACTCTATTAATATTAATAACATACTTCCACACGAAGAGTACCACCAAGCATCGGGTGCTGCTTTGATCCCCGCTGCTGGGGGCCGCTCCCAGCCTGCGGGCTGCGGGTCCCCACATCCCACGGGGGTGAGGATGCTGGCAGGGAGGACGTGTGGGCTGTGGGCGGCTGTCAGGGGGTGGGGGTGGCACTCACTGCATGTGCTCAATGCCAGGGACACCGGATGCCTCTGGGTGTGAACATTCTCCATTGCTGTGCTCTGGTGCCCATTGTGGAGGACAATCAGGAGCCACTACTGCACTCGCTGGGTTTATTTTGCATGGAGCCGAAGCAGAGGGTCTGTGGAGAAGTTGGATGCCACCGCCGAGCTGTGGGTGTCCGGTCCTGGCAGACAGCCCCAATGGGTCCCAGTGCCCAGAGCATAGCCTCAAGGGTGCTTCGTTGGGCCCTCAGCAGACATGAACCTCTGGCCCTTATGCTGAGCCTCACTGTTAGAAACCATTACTGAGAGTTTTTATGAAAGCCTACTCAAGCTTGACTGTTCATAAATAAGCATGACACTTCCCTCTCTGCCTTTACATGGCATGCATGCTTTTAAGTAGTCCAACTTTATATAAAGGCTCACTGTTGTAAAAAATAACTTTCATTGGCTCCTTTCCCAAATACATTAAAATTGCAACCTCAATAAGAGCATACGGTGTTTGCATTTCCACTTACAGCGGTGCGTTGCTGAGAGCGAGTGCTGGGATGGCCGCAGCACTCTGTGCTCCATGGACCCCAGTACTGTAATCCTGGTTGCACCCAGCGACTGTAATAACGAGGCTTTGAGGTTGGATTAAATATTAGTGGGTAAAACACCAATTTGCTCCTTTTCCCTTCGAGCCACAGAGATGCACGCACTCCTCTTGCTTTCTTCCCTTACTTGTCAGCTCTATAACGGATTGTGTGGGCAAAAGTTTGCGTCCCTTTTATAACCAGCATGACAACAGCCCCGTCCATCTCTCTGCTGAAGGACGGCTCTCAAGCTGTTTGCACAGCAGGTGACCCCACATCGGCCCTCCCAGCCCCAGGGGGGACGCACTGCAGCCCCACGAAGGCCTGTCCTCTCAGCACAGTGAGTAAAAAGCACCAAAGGAAGAGCAGATGGAACAAAAGGCCCCTACAGTTATCTAAATAACTGATTGAGAAGTGTGGTAAAGGGTTTTTTTTTGTTTTTTTTTTTTGTTGTTGTTGTTATTTGACTATACTAAAGAGTTATATTTGCAGAATATCGCATCTCTTGGGGCTTTTCTAACACTGCGGTTTGGATGTGCTGCACTCACGCCTAACTAGCTGTCTGAGCGCCAGGGACATTTTTTTTCCCCTTTATAAATGACAATATTTTGATTTCACACCACAGTTGTATCAATATTCCATTCTCCTGAGGTCCCCTTAACGTGAAGACAATTGCGATATTAGTTCAGGCTGCTAATCCCAGGGCTCCAATATTTTAGCATCCCTAATCTTATCAGAATCACAGTCTTCCAAGAATATATTGTTGCATTTATCTTCATGTGCATCCCGCAAATCAAGCTGATGAGCATCCGAGCCGCAGTCAGACTCTCAAACTGCCTTGAAACGTTCTGGGTGTGCTCTGCATGCTTCCCACACAGCAGTGCACGGGGAGGTAGAAGCATGTGCCAGGGGTGTCCTGCTGTGCTGGGGCTGCAGAGAGCCAGCGCTGCCTCCTCTCCTCCATTTTTGTGGTTCTAACGGACATTAAAGGTAAATTTTAATTACAAATACATGTGTTTCCCATAGGAAGATACTGTCCCCTGTGACAGTATATGCAGAAGCTCCACCTCCATGGCAGACACTGATTCCTCTCTATGGGCAATGGAAGCCCTTGTGAGAGAAATACACTTGTAAGGTGCAGGTGAAGGAGATCAAGGAGAGATTGTAGGCCTGCTGAAGGTCAGCTGATGGCAACTGAGTAACAGGGTTGGATAAAAAGGGAAAGGATGGGGGTAGGGAGAGGGCTCTGGGAAGGGCTTGGAGCAGGGATGTGCAGGTGGGGACCTGAGGAGCTGCAGAGGATGGGATGGAAGGTAAGTTATTTAGGTGCCCAACAGTAGGGAGCCTGGCTCCTAGGCTTAGGTACCTGTGTAAGCTAATTGAAACTGTCTGTAGAATGGTGTTAAGAAGGTGATTCCTGGTTCTGCATAGTGGGTGAACAATGGGTTTGTCCTGTTTTGGACTAGGCTGGTTTGGGAACTTAATCTCCAGAGTCTCAGAGCTCTGCAAGCCCAGCTAGTGCTTGGTGCAGGGCACAGGGCTGGGGGCGCTGGGGGTGATGGAGCTGAGTGGGCAGCACATCTCTCCTGTTTCTCTCCTTCTGCATCACTTAGTCAGGCCCCTGCCATGGGAGAGGAGATCTGCAGGAGGACTCTTGCTGCTGAGAGCCTAAGTTAAGGGTCTCCTACTCCTGGCAGAGCTGTCACACGCTGCCCAGCCCCAACTTCTCTGTATGCTTTTGAAAGTGCATAGAAGGAACTTGAGTTTTTGGCTTGGTGCTGTGAGTTCAAACTATCTCTATAAGTTCTAGAGAATGTGAAGGCTTTCTTCAAAGAGTTTTTCTCCTGAAAAGATAGTTTTCAAATAAGTTTCATTTCTTGGCCAATTTATTACTCATCCAGCCACACTAAGCCCTAACCATGTTATCAAAGTACTGTATTCCCTCAAACTGAGTTGGGCTGGCTGGAACACAAGAATGTAATTTTCTGAAGACTTCATGACTTTGAAATTTGCTTTCAATGTGCATTGGGCACAACACTGTGCTTTAAGGAGAGGGGAGAAAATAAATTAGAACTGCAACTTGAGGATGTGCATGCACATCCCATCAAACAGCACCAGAATCATGCCTATAGCATGGGAGCTCAGCACCCTGCTGGGTGTGTGGAGGCACTTCTGCTCTAGGAGGGTGGGTTCCTGGGCTGGGGGCTGCCCCCAGGGCTCAGCTTGTGTGAAGCACTGGTGCTGGAGAGGTTCCATAAGCTGGGGGCTGCATCAGAAGTGTGCCCCCAATGTGCTCCTTCATGGGACTTGTGGGTGTAAGGCATCTCAGCATGGCTGTGGGGAAGGTCAGGGATGAGATCTTTTTGGTGGCCTGTTTGTTTTTTTTTTTTTTTTTTGAAGACCAGTTCAGCCCATAGAAAATCACTGAAAGCCCTCCAGGCAGGGGCTTTCACAGTGCTGCCTGTGGGCACGGTGCTGTGGCAGCAGCCGCTGCTCTTTCCTCTGTATGTCACATGGATGTTCTCTCTCTTAAAATCTGATAACGTTGCTCACAAATGCAACAATGTAGGGCAAGCTGGTATATATGCACATACATATATGTTTGCTATAAAAGTTTTTGAAAAAATCCTGAAAGAGAAAGCAGCTGAGCTATTTTACAGCTGGGGGGTAGAAGTGAAGTCCTTGTGGAAGGGAGGGGTCCCTCAGCTGTGCAGTGTCCATTCCTACTGCTCAGATAATGTCGTGTTTTCCTACTCTGGTAAGGAGGTGAAGTGGCCAGCAGAACAGCAGCAGCTTTGGTAGAGGGGCAGCTGTTACAGGCCGTCACTCCAAGCAGTCTGTGGAGCTCTTGGGGAGCTGGGCCGGGTCTGTGCACAGTGCCAGCACCCAAAGCCCAGCACCCTGCCTGGAGCTGTCTCCCCATCCCAGCAGCTTGGCACTGCTGCCCGGCTCCCCTGCCACAGCTCGCCTCTGCTGCCATTGCTCAATGCCTTTTGCTTCACTGCATTGCAAGAAACAATTGCACAAGTTCATGACCCGCTGGATTAACTCATTCACTTGCTGCTAGTGTGCTCGAGCTGCTGAAGTGTTCACTTCTGCTGCTTTATTCAAGCCTCAGCTGAGAGCAATAGGAAATGACACGTTGTATGTGAAGAATTTTGGACAATAAACTGTTTATTCCCCGATGGCTGGTTATAAGTGTTAGAAATGATAGAAAGTTATTGGCTGGCCTCAATTTTCTAATGTGGAAAAAAATATACTGTACTCGTTTCCATTATTGAGAAAATACGTTTTTTGAGTGGGATCTTCCAAACCTACTCATCAAAAAGTGAGTTTGGAGCCCCATTCAGAAAACAGTGATAATGTTTGTTAGTTGAGCGGAACTTTTTTCCCAATGCTGGAAGAATCTCTTAATTATTTTTTCATTAATTTTTCTTCCTCCTCTTTGTGGATCTGAGCTGGGATTCCTTATGTGCTGTGCTGTCCTTCGTGCCCCCAGGCTCCCAACGTCTGCACTACGAAGTGCTCTGTTCCCATTCTGCCCGACTTCAGCTTATGGGTATTTTCTCGCTATCAGGCAGCAGTTTAAATTATGGCCAGATAAAATCCATGTGATAAGAACAGCTCAGAATCCCCTTTGGGCTGAGGGCTGCTGAGCCCTGGGCTGTAAGGGGTACCACACTGTTCCCCTATCCAATGGAAACATCCATTGGAATATTTCTGGATGTTCTTTAAATTAAGAACTGGGCTTCCAGAAGAACACAAACATTTCTTTAGGCCCTTCCAACAATAGTGGGTATGGAATTCTGTACCCACTATTGTTCTGCAGCCTCGTCCCTCTCAGCTAATTAGTGCGGGCTTCTCTAAATGATGAATTTAGTATTGAGTTATGTATTTTTAAAAGTTCTTATGGTTGTTGTAACTGGAAATATGTGCTGGCCTGACTTGTAATTCCCTCCACAGCCTCCCTGGAGTCAGGCAGTGCATGCAGAAGGACAAAGTCAATAAAACTGTACTGTATGTCACTGCAGATCTGAAGGGTTTTTGTTGTGTGTTGTTTTTTTTTTTCCTTTCTTAGTGAGTAACAATCCTGGGCAGCCAGAAATAACTTCACAAAATTCAAAGGCCTAATTGAGAAAATAATTTAAGACCATCCTGAGATTGAAGGAGTCGCAGGGCTCTCCCTGCCCGGAACTGGAAGGGGCTGGCAGTGCTGCGACAGCCCTCAGCACAGGGCTTTGGTTAAAGCAGAGGGGGAACGTGGGTGGTGCTGCATGGAGTTGGGTGAAGGTGAGAAGTGCTCTGTACTCGTGCTGCTTCCCTTGTTGGAGCAGTGTGCAATGCTGCTCTGCTGGCACTGACACTGTGCCAGTCTGGCAAACCTTGTCACCAAAAAGGGAAAATGACTGAAATGGAAAATTGTTGGAGCCAAGCTGAATTAGACAAATCCATGGGTCAGTTTGCAGTTGTTTCCTGCTGTGATGACTGCTTCCCCTTCAAACATTTCAGTGCTCTTAATCATTTTGTAGCTACCAGTAACTCTTGCAATGGCTCTGCAGGCTCTTCGGCTGCTGCGTGCCAGCACCCAGGCTTGAGCATTTGGGGATGAGAGCTGCTCCTGCGAGAGGAGCTGCTGCACCAAGCTGTTAGTATGCAGGGCTCGGCACGGTGCGCAGCCCGAGGATGCTGTGAAAAAGGGGTATGAGTAAATGGGAGTGCTGATTTTTATGGTTCTGATCTCTTCCTGGGGCAGGGAGGTGTTTTTTCCCCCCCAACCCCCATGCTGACTGAGTGAGTAAAGGTGTTTTGGACCCCTTACCTCTTGAGGGCTCTCACATCTCAGACTTCACAGAGGCAGCCCCATGGGAGGGATGTTTGGGCTCAAATCCCAGGGTGGTTATTTATGAAGCCAAAAAGCAAACACATCTCCAGAGCAGTGCATGCAGCTCAGTTTGCTCTGAAAACTGCTTGCAGCACGGCTGGGGGGCACAGTGAAGCTGGAGCTGCTCTGGAGATGGGCTTCCATGGAAAGCTGGGGTGGGATATTTTGGGCAAGTTCTCCCTCAGATTCCTGCTGGCTTCCCTGTGAGGAGCATAAGGTACTGCTCAGCATGTTGGTGTTAGGGCAGCACTGCTGTCTTACATCTCACCTAAAACTGGTCATTTCTGGATTAATTTGAAGTTACACATTTTGGTTTCTGTCTAATTGAAACAATAATGGTGTTAAATGAATCCATGATGAACAGTTTCCCGCAGCATTGCTCTTGTTTCTTCGGTGATGATCATGTTGATAGAGCTGAAGCCTATTCAATCTCATAAAGCAAATGAATGATTCACAGGCTCTGCCTGTACGCAGCAACTCTATTTATATAGAGAATATTATAAAAATACCATGTCTTGTTAATCATACATCTGTATTCATTTGGATAGGAGACAATTATTTCTCTTTACTCAGTTCCGTTTGGTGATTTCCTAAAGTGCCAGAGATAAATTATTCCAGAGGAAAGGCTGAAATGCAGTTATGGTGCTCAGCAGCTCCGCACTGCAGGCTGCCCTCATCCACACAGCTCTGCTCTGGTGCGGGGCACCTCCACCTGGTGCTGCAGCACCCCAGCAACATGGCATCCATCCCTTATTTTTGCAATAGAAAGACTTGTGGCTTACGTTTCGTTAAAGTATATATATTTTTTTCAATGTCCTTAAGTTAATGATGATCTAAAGGCAGTATCCTCAGCCTAACCCTCAGGGATGTGCTTATGGTTTCTCTCCCTGGTGTATGGCCATGCCAAATGGAGGTCTGTGATGGAGCACTGTAGTGTTTGGTGTGTGATGGTGCTGCTGCTGTGACCCCACTGCTCATTGGGCACAGCTGCTGCTGTGACCTCATTGCTCGTAAGCCCACACAGCTAAGGAGCTCCTGGCTCCTTAGCCGATACGTGACTAAGTTTCCTTTGTTTCAGGTAAGCTGTCATGCAAAATCCCAAATACAGCCTTCATGCCCAGCTTTACGTGCAGAAGAGGCCTTTGCAGTTTATTGGACAGTTTGGTCTGGAGAAGCCATGCAGCTCAGTGTGCAGAACGCTTCTCAGCAGTGGTACTGTTTTAGTGATGCTCTCAGGTGCTGACACTTCTACCTCTGAAATTTGCTTCTTAGGCACTGAGAGCTGTCACGATGATGTTTACTCTCTCCATCACCCAGCAATGTTAGTCCCAGGCCGGCAGCATCCCGCAGTGCACCCCATGTGCTGCAGGGCTCCTGCCTGTCCTGCTCAGAGCCTCCTCAGCACCCGCGCTGGCGTGCGTCTTCCATCTG